CTCTCTCTCTCTCTCTCTCTCTCTCTCTCTCTCTCTCCCTCTCTCTCTCTCTCTCTCACTCACTCACTCATGCACAGTAGAGGCCAAAGCAAGTCATGTCTCCAGGTCAGATTCAGCCCGTGGGCCATTTAGCTTGTGACCTTGGGCATAGTGCCAGGAACATCTAATGGGTAGAGAGTGTCAAGGGGAGGATGATCCATGGAAAGAGGTCAAGAGGAAATGAGAAAATAGGGAAGGCAATAAGATGTGACCCTATGGAGGCCAAAGTGCCATCAGGAAAGCCATTGCATAGTGGTCTGGGAGGGATGGCGAGGAAGAGAAGGCGACTCTTGACAAGTTTAGCAGTGAAGGAAGATGGAGGAGATGTCAGGGAGAAACGTGTGATTTCCCCCAACCCTAATTGTCATTCCTTGGAGACCTGTGTATCTCTTTGTAGGTAGGAAGGATCCTGTGGAGAGGGAAACTTGAAAATACTGAAAAAGAGAGAATAGAATCAAGGAAACAGTTGGAGGGTTAATATTGGAAAGGAGGGGTTTGTTTTGAGCAGAATCACAAAGAATGGTGAGGGTAAGTACAGAGATGTTCTGAGGTCTCTTGAAGTTGAGGGGATATCACATTGACCTCAGTGTTTATAAAGTACAAGGTAAGGTCATCAATCATGAGGGTCTTAGAGACAAGCTCTATTGTTTTCTTGCACCTTTCCCCACCTACTGCATTTTAGGGTTTCTCTTCTCGTCTCTGAACGTGTCGTGCCTTTGTGATTGGCACCTGGTTGTATAGTAGCTTTATTGTTTTCTACGTAGTAGTATTGTTCCCTCACTGCGGTTTGTAAGCTCTTTGAAGATGGTGCTGAAGCTGTGTATTGAATAAAGGCTTCAAGAGCAAAGAGTAACTGGCTTCATATTTTACCCTTTTGCCCACTGCTAGGGTATCTGTGCTGATCAAGTGAAAGTTTCAGGCCATCATCGCTACCAGAGAGTGGAGATGAATGAAAATGCACTGGGAGAGCTAAAAAAACTGTTTGATGCCAAATCTGAGCACCTCCACCAGACCTTGGCGCTGCATTCTTACACTTCTGTGCTCTCACGGTTGCAAGTGGAGTCTTACATCTACACATTACTCAATAGTTTGGCTGTTCTGAGATCTTTAGCAATTCATCAGGAAGGCCAAGGTGTGTAAGTAATGAAAGTCTCACTCTTTCTTGTGATCTAAAATATAAAAAGAATTGAGGGATACAATCTGGTTGAATCTACTGTGTGCTGATAATATAAGGGATAATTTGTGCTTGCTGTTTTACCTTACCTCCCCCAATACAGGACTGAGATCTGCCTTAATAACATTACTTGGGAGCAGTGCCAGGTCTCCCTAACCCTTGGGCTGTCATTCTCTCCTTCTCTAGGAAGCCAAAAGTTTGCTTTTTATCATTAATGTCTATTACTGTCCTAATTTATGTGCTCGTTACCAATTCAAGTCCAAATATAGTTTTTGATTCTAAAACTAATAATCACAATACTTTTTCATTCTGTCTGTTGCACTTTATTTTTGCTTGTCCATCTTGTTGGGGTGTTTAATTTTCATCAGAGCATTTATAATGTTCCGAATTTTTCATCTTATTTTGGGTTTTAATAAATTAGCCTTGGGCTTTCTTGGTGGCTCAGTGGTTAAGAATCCTCCTGCCAATGCTGGAGACACAGGTTCTAGCCCTGGTCCGGGAAGATCCCACATGCCACGGAGCAGCTAAGCCCGTGCGCCACAACTACTGAGCCTGCTCTCTGGAGCCCGTGAGCCACAACTACTGAGGCCCGCATGCCACAACTACTGAAGCCCATGCGCCTAGAGCCCGTGCTCCACAGCAAGAGAAGCCACTGCAATGAGAAGCCCGCGCTCCACAATGAGAAGCCTGCGCATCACAATTAAGAGTAGCCCCTGCTTGCCGCAACTAGAGAAAGCCCGTGCACAGCAACAAAGACCCAACGTGGCCAAAAATAAATAAATAAATAAATTTATTAAAAAAAAAAAGAAATTAGCCTTTATTATATGATAAGCATTACTTATGCAATTTTTATTTCTTAGAGAGATACTAGGATCACTTAAAATAAAAAAGTCCTTTGCCCTTATCATTTTCATAACTAATCAGAGAGCTGGGGCTAGGCCAGAGATTTGCTGATTTTTAAATAAAAAATTTTGATGAAGTTAATTTTTTCTTGCTTTGAAATACTTCACGAAGTTAAATACTTTTTTCAGTTTACATATTTAGTAGAAACTCAGATATTTTGATTTCTCCTTGGATTTTCATCTGAATTAAAAATTTTAAATTATTTATTTATTTATTTTAAATAGAGACACTAAAAATTCTCCCACAAATACCATTTATATGGGACTCATTTAATCCTCTTTTTAATTTATAGCTTCTAAACAGGTAGAAAGCATTCCCTCTGATCTGTGTCAGCTAAAGGAGTGCATTAGTGTCTTATTCATGTTCACCAGGAGAGTTAATGAAGACACTCAGTTCCATGACGATATTCTTCTCTGGCTGCAGAAATTGGTAAGGAAATAGACATAGTATACTGTCCTTTATTTCCCTGATAATTTAAGAATTATCTCCTGTTTCCTTATAGGTTTTTCTTTAATAGCTTCTTCAGCTAATTTGTTTAATATGTTAGTGACGTTTTCTTTGCTCATGACGTGGAAATAAGTTATCCTTATCTAGTGCATTATTAAGCACACAGTGCTTTTCTCTCTGATAAAGTTTATGTTAAATTATCTTTGGCCTTCGACTTAGAAGGAAATGGAAACGTGGGAAGCATGCTAAATTTAAGACTAGATGTATATTCAGAATATAGGTATGTGAGCTAAAAGTTGTTTATATCACTTTTTTATCATCTTGTGTTTAATGCTGTACTTAATTATACTTTAAAAAAAATTTTTAAGGGAAAAAAAAGAATCAGGATTTGGGAACTTTAGGAAAGATATCAGGTGTGTTACGGGGGGAGAGGTTGTTCGTTTACTGGTTATGTTTCTCAATGGAGCTGCCTTGGGTGCTTTTTTAGGTTCATGCTAGCATTCTTAGATATGGGCTGAGGTTCTAAGCATACTTACTTGTATTTGAGAAACTATTACAAACTGGGAATAGATTAAACTACTTGACTTAAATCTATTCATGTGTGGCCAGGAACATTAGTGATTTGTAATTTGCCAGATAATAAAAATTGGGTTTGCAGAGAAACTACTTAAGATATTTTTATCAGAGTGCTCTTAGGTTCATAGGCCTCTGTGTACCTCTGTGGTAGAAACTCAACCAGTCAGTGGTATATCTTATGTCTGGTTACTCTTTTGAAAGATCACATGTATTTAAATATCGGATAAGTGATTTCATTAGACCCTTAAAAACATTCGTCTTTGTAAATAGTAGAACTATACATCCTTTATTGTTTAGGTATCAGTGTTACAAAGAGTTGGCTGTCCTGGAGATCACCTCTTCCTTCTAAACCATATTCTTCGATGCCCGGCTGGTGTTAGTAAATGGGCTGTTCCTTTCATCCAGGTATGATGAATGGCCTTCTAATGTTGAAGAGAATGGGAGGCGATTTTGTTAAACATTCTTTCTGAAGAAGTTGCTTTAAAAAATAAGCTTACTTTAAAAATATTGATATTTAAAATAAAATTATTGGATATATCTAGTCTGTATTCGTAGGAGTTATTATGCTGCAACTTCTTGGACCACCCAAAACTGATGAAATTAAGATGGAATTGCAAAAGTTCAGTTGTAGTCTGGCTTGGTAGTTTTAGTAGTATTTAATTCTGTAAAATTTCTGTGCAGTAAGGCTTGCTAGGACTTTTTTCTGTAATATTCAACACAACGTCCTAAATTAATCCATCTCACACTACAGTTGGTACAGATAAAAAAGCAGCCACAAGCATCTCAAAGTTCTTTAATACTAGCAGAGATCTCAGGTCTGTGCAATCAATTTAGGCATCTCTGCTGCTTGCCTTTGGGTTGTGTTGTTACTCATAGCAGCCCCTCAGATGGGTGGGTAAGAGCCAGATATATGCCAGGTCATTCTCCATGTTACCTTTTCTTTAGTATTTCTGGTGGCAAGAAATTTGAATCTTTTTAGGTAGAAGGAAGATTTTTTGTTTTTATTTATCTTTGGATTAAGATAGCAGTATACTCCTCCCACCCATATTGTTTCAGGTAATTGATGTAAATGGCTCAGCTACCTCTGTTCTCTGAGTACAGCCCAGTCAGTACTGCCAGGTAACCCACAGGTGTTCTCACTCTTGTGGATGAGGTGCCAGTTCCATCTTTGTTTCCTTAACGGCTCCCTTTGTCAAAATTCTGGTGAACTAAGATTATGGATACTTGGGTTGTTGGTTTTCTACAGTATGCCTTTTCCTTTTCTGATTTCAGATCAAAGTGTTGAATAACCCATCAGGGGTCTTTCATTTTATGCAGTCCCTTGCCCTGCTAATGTCTCCTGTCAAGTAAGTGTGGAAGAGCTTTGTGAAGTAGAAATGAAAATGTTCTATCAAACAATTGGCTTCCTAAACTGCCCAGATCCAAACAATTGCTAAGGGAAGAGTCAGCATTCCAAAATTTAACATTGCAGGTTTTCTTTGGGTTTAATACCCTTTGTCCCAAAGTGACCCTTTTAACTGCCTTTTTTTTTTTTAACTGATTAACTTTTTAGGGTCCTCCTTTTTAGTGGATTTGCGACTCCTGTCATATACGTCATTGTGGTGCTGTGGGGAGAAAAAAAGGATGATCTCTTCCTTAGCAGGAGAGATTTAGTGGCAGAGGAAAAAAAAAAGCACAGTCAAAGAGATTCAAGTGCTAAATTGTGTGAAGCCATGATTGATGCAGTAGAAATGAAGAGAGTAAAGAGAGTAGAGTGTAGTAGTCAGAGGGTTCCAGGTGGATGAGCTGGGTTTGAAGAATGGAACTGATTTCAGCA